AATGGAAGGTTTAGCAAGACGCTCACCTTTCTTACTTGTCCCTTATCTCCTACTGAGATTTTCACTATCCTTACAAGTCCATCCTTACCACTGACTTGCGAGTCTCCATTCACCTCTGAGTGACAGTTCATCTTTGTCCATCACTATATCACCCACCATTAGATTTCTCCTCGGCATGTGCCACCGCTGCCTTGTGGTGATGTTGTGCAGATATTCCAGTTTCCACCTACTCCAGAACTGTTCCGCTAAAAACTGTACACAACGCGATCTTTTTGCTCCATACAAGTCCTCTCTAAGGAATGTGCCTGGTGAAGGAGTGCTGTACTGGACTTCATGTTGATCAGATGATTGGGGGTGAGTGGTTCGAGGCTGTCAGGGCAGTTTAAGCTATCCACAGTGAGGGGTCGACTGTTGACTATGGCCATAGAGTAGAGTCCGTAATGAAGCATCGTTGAGTCTGCCTTGAGAAGGTGCCAGAGTAGAGCTCAGAACGCTTTTGACAGTCTTTATCTGGTGTTCCCACACTCCCCTTGTGTGACTGGAGTGGGGTGCATTCATGACAAAGTCACACTGTTTTTGTGACAGAAATGTGCTTAGTCTCTGTATGTCAAGCTCTTGTAGAGCTGTCTTGAATTCTTAGCACCAACAAAATCAGTGCCTTGATCACACTGAAATTGACGGACTGCACCTCGAACAACAATGAAGCATCGCAGGGCATTGATGAAGGTGTCGGTGGACATATCGTCTAACATCTCGATGTGAATGGCTCATGAGCCAAAGCAGGTAAAGAGCAGGTCGTATCGTTTATGCTGTTTCCTTCCCTGTGTAGTCGTCAAAGGACCGAAGCAATCCATCCCACAGTATATGAAAGGGGGGAGGGCTTGACGTGTTCTACATGTAAGTCACTCATTCTTTGACCCTCTGCAGCTCTCCTGAGTTTACAACAAATCACACACTGATGGATGTATGACGCTACTGCTCTGCTCATTCCCGGAATCCAACATCCGCTGGCTCTGATTTCATTGATTGTGAAGCCTTTCCCTTGATGTTTTGTCTTTTCATGGTTGTGAGCTATTAACTTTGTCACATGGTGCTCTTTGGGAATGATAATTGCAAGAGGTCTGGCACTGCATCATTTACCGTGGGTATCTCCCTTTCCCAGAGAAACATGGGGCCAGTGAACCAGTTAAAGGTAAGTAGTTCTTTTACAGTTTTACCTCGGGATGCGCCATCTGCTGGATTGTCATCCATGGGGACGTAGCGCTATTGCTCGGGGTTTGTGCAGTGGCGGATCTTCAGGACCTGGTTGGCAACAAAGGTGTGAAATCGCCGAGCATCATTATTTATGTAGCCTAACACTACCCTTGAGTTCGTCCAAAAGTATTCTTTCCCATCAACAATTCTCAATTCTTCATATTGCTGATGGAGACTGAAACCACTGCTGCGGTTAATTCGAGCCGTGGTATTGTAGTCACTTTTGTGGGAGAAACACGGGCCTTTCCTATCACTAGTGAGCAGTGACTCTCTCCCTTCTTGTTCTTGACTGTCAGATAAGAGCATTGCCCGAAACAGGTGGTGATCGCATCTGAGAAGTGGTATAATTCGGTTTCTACAACTTCTCCGCAGTTAGCAGGTAAGTAACAGCGAGTTATGTTTATTTTCTGTAGGTTGGTGAAGTCACGTTGCCAACTCTCCCACCGTGGGCTTTAGCCTCTCTGGTAAATGGTAAATGGACCTGTACTTTTACACTACGTGCCACATTCACCCTCACACACACACACACAGTGTGCCCATCGAACAGAAACTAATGCATTCATACACATTCACACACCGATGCACAGGAGCAATTCGGGGTTCAGTATCTTGCTCAAGGATACTTTGACATGTGGCACCAGGAGCCGGGGATCGAACAAACAACCTTCCGATTAGGGGACGACCCACTCTGCCTCTGCACCACAGCCGCCCATGTAGCCACCATTATTAAAAAAAAATAAAATAAAAAATACACAAACACACACATTCCATTTGAAAAGATGAACTGTATACAGGGTAAGAAAGGAAAATTTGTTTTGGTTGTGGGAAAAATAGAACCAAATGAGAGATGAATGTCTACCATCCCCCAGATGTAGGGGCAGAATTCATTATTGAAATAATAGAACTAATACTAAAACATGGGAAATGAGTTATTATTGGTGGGGACTTCAACTTGGTCCTAAACCCAACTGTAGACTCAACACCAGTTACAGACATAGTTAGAGGTGTAACCAACATGGAAAACCAAGAGAGCTGTCTTTTATGGGTGAAAAACAAGCAATTGTGAGCTGAGAAAGATGGAAAATAATCAGAAGCCCAATTGGCACCAAACATTGGTTCATAGCCAGTAACAACATTTTGGAATCTTTCCCTTGAAAGAAAGAAAGACACACTGTGTTACTAAGTAACAGCACGTAACGGGTAGACCAAGGAAACAGCAGCAGTTGATGGACAAATCTACAACTGTGGACATCAGCAACAACCTCAGAGGGCAATTAATAAAGGTGTCCACAATCAACTGTTGCAGAAGACTTCATGACAAAAGTACAGAGGCTAACCAGAAAGATGCAAACCACTCCATTAGCCAAGAAAGAACAAGTTCACGACCTCTTAACACAAATTGGTGGACCCAATATGCACGACTCCTGGCACAGACGAAGTTTGCAGGAAAAAAATTACAAAAAATAAAACAAATTATTTATCAACAAAAAGGCCTCTCTAGGAGATATCAAAATGCAAAGAAAAAGTCCCTCTCCAAAGGAGGGATATCAAAAAACGCAAACAAAAAAGCCAAACTTCAATAGACCACATGAATAACCTGGACCTCCTTAATGAACTATAACATTTTGGACAATACTTGACTTTACTTAACAAGACGAAACTGACAAAGACAAAATGGAGACAAGGACTATTTATACCATGTGAAAGGTGATAACAGAGTGAAAGCAATCAGGGGCGGGGCAAGACCAATTACAAAGGTGGGAAGAAGCACACAAAGGGAGGAAGGCAGGATTTCAATAGTGGAAGGAAAAGGTGAGTACAAAATAAAACAGGAAAGGACTTAACCATGAAAACACTTAACATGACTAAACTTAAACAAAACTTGACGAGACACAACAATAGGAAGGCCAGACTTTGCCAAAAAGTACAGAGACAAGCCTCAAAGATTCTGGGATAAAGTTTTATGGACTGATGAGACAAAGATAACCTTTACCAAAGTGATGGAAAGGCTAAAGTTTCGAGAAAGAAAGGATCTGCTCATGATCCCGAACATACAAGCTCACCTGTGAAACACGATGAAGGTAATGTAATGGCTTGGGCTTGCATGGCTTCTTCTGGGATGGGCTCATTAATCTTCTTTGATGATGTAACACATGATGGCAGCAGCAAAATGAACTCAGAAGTCTACAGAAACATTTTGTCTGCAAATGTAATGAAAGATCATCATGCAGCAAGATAATGACCCAAAACACACTGCCAAAACAACAAAGGAGTTCATCAGGTGCAAGAAGTGAATTGTTTTAGACTGGCCAAGTGCAGACTTAAACCCTATAGAACATGCATTTTACCTGCTAAAGAGGAGACTGAAGGGAGTAACCCCCCAAAACAAACAACAACTGAAAGAGGCTGTGGTGAAAGCCTGGAAAAGCATCACAAAAGAAGAATGCAAAAGTTTGGTGATGTCAGTGGGTCACAGGCTTGATGCAGTTCTTGCAAGCAAAGGATTGCAACTAAATATTAAGTCTTATTCACTTTAATCTATTTTAAGTCTATCTTTTCCAATACTTTTGCTCACCTAGCAAATTGGTGTTCCATTACAAATAGGGGTGTAACGATTCATCTACTACATCGATGTATCGATTTATATTCCTATGATCCAACTACATCGATCTGTGCTCGGCAAGCGGACGACATATGTCGATCTAACTTCGTTTTAAAAGGGTAATCAATCGATTATATCCGATACTAGGAAATAACGCATTGGATTTAAGCACGTCAGACTTTATATGGATGTGTTTTTTCTTAGCACTTTTAATTCTAAATAAGTCGCTCGCTGTTTGTAGGATATGTAAAGGTCAGGTAAAGTACAACGGCAACACGACAAATCTCTCCAACCACCTACTAAGGCGCCATGGGATTTCACACAACACCAACCGTCCATGCATCTCTTGCAGCATTCCCGCTGCAGCGGCAGTGCAAGGTAAAGTCAGCCCTGCAGAAGCCTCAGGCCTTGCCTGCATGTTTAGTCAGAGACTAGGACAAAACTCAGCTTGGGCGAAAAACATCACAGCAACAATTGCCAAGTTTATCTGCAAAGATATGCGACCCTACAGTGTGGTTGAAAATCCGGGGTTCTGTGAAATGATTCAAACATTGGAGCCAAGGTACAAGATACCAAGCCGACCACACTTCTCAGAAAAGGTTATTCCTGCATTGTATGAAAGTACTAAGAATGATGTGAAGCTGTCGCTTTCTCAAGCTATCTAGTAGCCATAACGACGGATGGCTGGACGTCATGCTCAAATCAAGGGTATGTGACAATTACCTCTCATCACATTGATCCGGAGTGGAAAATGAAGACCTTTGCTCTGCAAACCAGAGTTTTAAATGAAGCCCATACTGGTAAAAATATTGGCGCGTTACTGCGTGAAGCCTGCACGGAGTGGAAAATCTCCGACAAGAATCCTGCCATCGTCACAGATAACGCCAGGAACATGATTGTGGCCGGTGCAGAAGCCCAGTTTAGTCCACACATTACCTGCTTCGCACATACACTCAACCTTGCCTCGCAGAAGGGTTTGGGGGTGGACCGTGCTTCCAGGTTGTTGGGGAAAGTGCGAAAAATTGTTGGATATTTTCACCGCGGCCCGATTGCATGTCACGTCCTACGGGAAAAACAAACTGATGGATTTACAAAAACATAAACTGATCCAAGACATAATCACCAGAAACAACAGCCAGCTATAATGGCAACTCTGATGTCCAAGGATGTACGAAAGGGGGTCACAGATGTAGGCACGCTGAGTGAGAGTGATATTGCCAACATGGATGACATTGTTCAGTTGATGGGTCCTGTCAAAATGGCAACCACTGTGATGTGTGAAGAAGACCAGCCAACTCTCTATGTAATTGCTCCTCTTTAAGCAAAACTGCTGAAACACCTACAGCCATGCGAAGACGACTCAACCCTGGTTGCAGAGATTAAGAGGGTGATGGCCAATGACCTCTCCACACGCTACAGAGGCACCCAAGATGCTCTCAACATAGGTAATTAATTTGGAGTTTGGGTCTTAATTAAAATCACTTTGGTTAATTTTTAGGTTATTATAATAATTAATATATATAATAATAATAATAACAAGAGGGTCAATTTAAAAGTAATAGAATAAGTAGAATAATTGCGAAGCAATTAATACGAGCATGGGTCTAGTGTCCTTAAGTGCATGGTCAAATCCGTGCTTGTAAAACCTAAGGTGCATAATGTAGTGTCAGTGTCTCATTAATGCAGGTGCATGTCAGGTGGTATAGTTAACTAAGTGGCAGACATATTGGAGTTTTAGAGTTTTTCTCCCTGGGTAGAGTTTGAATGAGCCTCATGGGTGGGGTGAGGAACGATTTTCTCGTCTTTCAATGGAAAGTACAGTGACGCAGCTTCGTGAAGCTGTCCTCTGCTGTAGATGTTGCTGTGCAGTGGATGCAGTGGATTGTCATGATGAGGAGCCTGTTCAGCGCCCTTTGCTTCTGCCAAGATGTCGTTCTGTCCAGCTTCTGTGCCCAACACAGAGCCTGGCTCTTCCTCTTTAGTTTGTCCAGACAGGAGCTCTTTTCTTAATGTGTCCCCAGCACATACCGTCATTAGAAGAGGGCGCTTCGCCCAACATTCTGATATGAATATCTGCAGCAGTTTTTTGCAGTATGTTGAGGATCGCAGCCTTCTGAGGAATTATAATGGTCTACCTTTTCTTGCACAGTGCGTTCTGTTGTTGGCAGTTCCATCAGCTTATATTAGGTGTACTCCAGGTATTTGTTATGTCTGTACAACTCCAACAGTCACGTTGATGGTCTAAGGTTCCGGTGTAGCTCCTGCCTTTCTGAGTTCCACCCATCTCCTTGGTCTTGGTGGTGTTGATGCGCAGGTGGTTGGAGTCACACCATGTGACAAAGTCCTGATAAGTTTTCTGTACTCCTTCCTCCTGGTACCCTGTACAGCCATCTATAGCCGTTTGTCGTCTGCGAACTTTTGCGTTGCAGACTCTGAGTTATATTTGAAGTCTTCGTTTACAGGATGACGGATCCGATGAGGCACCTTTGTTGCGCTCCGTGTACTGACCACAGTGTCAGTTACCTGAGTCTTAGATCTGTATTAATTTGTAAAATCACCCTTTGGTTTTAAGTTTTGAATTTAGTTTTTTCATATGGAAAGTAAACAAGATATATGCAATAAATTTCTTAGGTTATGGTGGCTTTAATTCATCGCTGTTCACATTTCTTTTTAATACTACTAAAGTTCATCTTATGATTATTTTGTGTATGAGGAGGTGGTCATAACTTTGCAATTCAGGTCAACTTAATTAAATAATGTGCAATGAATGCAATATTCTTGTTCTTTAAACTGCTATAGCGTTGGACGCGATTTATAATGAATCTCCTACCTGGAAAAAGATTGTGAATTGAACAGTTCTTAAATCTGGTTTTTGAGCAGATATGTCCCCCATGTAACTCTTTGTTCTCTTTCTCTCTCCTCCTCCTCTTTCTCTGCTTTTTCTCTTCTCCTTTTATTTGTCTCTTCTTTCTATTCATTTATTTCTTTCTTTATTTTCCTCTAATTTCTGTGTGCATTTTACGAGCGAATTTTAACAGTTAATTTTGTAATCCATAGTGCAAGCAATGGAACTCAGGAGGAGGTAGTGGAGCTCATGCACAATGCTGTCAGGTTCAATGAGAGATCACAGTGTTGTTTCATGTGATACCAACAAATATTTTTGTTTTTTGTTTGTATTATGAATATATGGAAATATGATATTATTTTTGAATATTTTTATATTGTATGTTCAATATTAGTACCTCCTTGTAAGAAGAAAGCTTGATCTACTGTTTGGCTTTCTTTCACCCAAGATGTATAAGAAATCCACAGAACGAATGATCAGCCCATGTAGCCATTGATGGTTGTAATTGAGTTATCCGAGCAAAAGTAGCGTTTCTTGATGAATATATGCCTTATGAAGTGTGTGGAGATCTCAGGATGAAAAGCGTACTGTATTTCATATACCCGAGTTTATGATCTGTGTTTACATAGTCAATTCACAGAAGTATAGGTGTTCTGTAGATTGTGTCATTTGGAAGAGTAGTGGTTTACACTTGTGATTCTTTTGGTGTGTGAAATATAGTGCACGTGCTGGTTTGTTATATGTACATATGATTGGTAGTAGCAGTCATGTCGACTGTCATTCAACCTGAAGAGTTGTGGCGATGTGCGTATTTTTGATTTAAATTATTTATTTGTATTATTCTAGTTGAAAATAACAACAGCAAATTATAGTTAGCAGGTAAACTCTACTGTTATTAACTTGAGAAAATGTTGTGTTGCACTTCTATTGTTTGATATTAATATTATATTTGATTAATTTTCTATGTTTTGAAAAACAACAGTAAAATAGAATACAGGTAAACGCGTTCTGTTAATTCACCTGAAGAGATTGGTCACTTTTATTTTTGATATTATAATGTATTGTTTATTTCGTGTTTTGAAAAACAAATTCAGTTAAAAGTAGCAGGTAAACTTACTGTTTAATTAACCTGAAAGAGTGTTTGTTGCACTTTATTTTTGATATTAAATATCTGTATTTATTTTTCTTATGTTGAAGAAACAACAGTTAAAAGTAATGCAGGTCAATCCACTGTTAATTCAACCTGAATGAGTGGTGGTGATATTTTGATATAATATTTGTATATTTTATGTGTGAAAACAAAAGCAGTAGTAGCAGGGTAAACTTCGTTGATATGTGGGTTGCCACTATTACTGTATTTTTTATGAATAATGTATTGATTATTGTAAATGTGTAGCTGAAATCTGTATGCTTTCGCTGTTAATTGCATCCCTATATATGTGTTGGTTGATTTTATTCTATAATTTAAATTGTGAATGCAGTTCTGGTGCTCAGAGCAGATCGGTGTCGTCCCCCAATCATGAGGTGGTTCGCCCGCTACTCCTGCCAGGTGTCGAAAGTATCCATTGAGTATAGAATACTGACCTCCTTGCTCCCGATGCGATAGCTATTCGAGTATGTGAATGTTTGTCACGTAATAAGTCTGCTTGATGTGGTCGTGAAGATCTTTAGGAATATTGGTGCTATAATATTTTCATTACTAGTTTTATCATTTTTACCATGTTGCCATTTACCATTTACACACGTCGTACTTAAGATTCACGGCATGATTAACTCTCGCCCTGTTGTTGTTGCTTTGCAATTACAAGCTACTCAACACAACATGAAACCAACCAGCTTTAATATGGTAACGCGTCATACACCTATTCTGGCTACATATAACATCACGTCTCTTATTCAAGCAGGGGTTTTTTGTCGGGGTATTTTTGGGTTTTTTTTTTTTGGTGACACGGCTAGTATAAAGTATTCGGCTCAACCCGCTGTGTCTATCCACTTCTATTTATGTATAGCATTTCTATATATGCAAAAAATAACTTGTAGATTCCATACTCGTATGTGTTAATGCCTCCATCCTTGTGACCAGACAGTTTGACTTTTCAATATGATCCGCTGAACATCTTCTGATCACTAGTTCAGATACTATGTCATATTCAGTTCGATATGGACTCTGAATGTCTTCTCTGCCTCTGGCTTTTACCAGGTGCGTTACAGCCCTGAGCTACGATTAGGAAAAACTCTAAGGCATAACAACACAAAAGAAGCTCATTCTCCACGGGTCTTGACGACACCGTCCACCCTGTACTGATGGTAAGCTATAACCTAGTCGTACCTTACTTTCCTTGCAATATTTCTTATAGGCATTTAATTAGAATTATTCTT